TTTGAGATTTTTACACTAAGCTTGACAGCGGGAGATGCTGTTTCACCCCAGCTTTCCCTGACCAGATTTTGCCCTGAATTGTTAGACTCTGGACCTTGTATCTAAGCAGAAGGGAAGCATGGCCTGCCAGCTTCTTTTTGCTGTTCTAACTTTTAATTTAATTTATATGCTGCCCAACTCCCAGCAACTCTGGACAGTTTACAAATTGTTAAAACATTTAAAAACAAGTAACAATATAAAAAACACAAAAACAACACAAAACAAAGGAACAGAGGTGGCAGAGAAAATAAACCCAGATGGGAACAAGGAAAAGGAAGAAGAGGGGTGTCAATCATCCTTGCCCAAGGTCTGGGCAAAAAGCCAGATCTTCAGGGCCCTTTGAAACACCAGCAGGGTGGGGCTGTTCAAATCTTGGGGGGGGAACCTCATTCCAGAGGGTTGGCACTGCTACAGAGGTGGTATGCTTTTGGGGTCCTGATAGATGGCATTGCTTAACTGAAGGAATCTGAGGTGCACCAATCCTGCCAGATCAAACAGTTGGGCAGATACTATGGGAGACAGGCAGTCCCTCAGGTAACCAGGCCCTACGCCATGTAGGGCTTTATAGGTAGTGACCAGCACCTTGAATCGTACCCAGAAGCAAACTGGCAACCAGTGCAGATCGTGAAGCAGAGGGGTTACATGGGCATACTGAGGCATGCCCATCACTGCTCACGCTACTGAATTCTGAACCAATTGAAGTTCTGGGTGGTCTTCAAGGGCAGTCCCACATAGAGTGTGTTGCAGTAGTCAAGCCATGAGGTGGCCAGGGAATGTCTGAAGGGCCCCCTGATGTAGGAAAGGGTGCAACTGATGCACCAGATGGAGCTGTGCAAAAGCCTTCCTGGCCACAGCTGCCACCTTCTCATCAAGCGGGAGCTGTGAGTTCAGGAAGACCCCCAAACTGCACACCATTCTTGAATGGAGGAGTGCAATTCCATCCAAGGTCAAAGATGGAATATCCCCAGATCTGGGCGGTCCAAACACCCACAGCCACTCGGTCTTGGTAGGATCGAGTTGGAGACAGTTCCTCCCCATCCAAACCCAACAGCCTCCAGGCACTGGGATAGAACCTCACTTGGCTGGCCTGGGGTCAAAATATATAATTGGGCATCGTAAGTGTACTGATGATACTAAACTGCAAACCTGCAGATGACCTCACCCAGAGGTTTCATGAAGATGTTGAAAAAGAAGGGAGAGAGAGTAGAATTTTGTGGCATCCCTCACAGGAGGGGCCTATGGAGTAATCTCTCCCTTCAACCTTCAACCAGCCCCGGAGAAATGAGAGCCACTGTGCCCCCAATCTCCAGCCATTGTGCTCCAGTGGTGCCCCCAATCTCCAGCCCGTGGTGCCAGCTTTGTTACCTTCAGCTTGCTTCCATCTCACACCTGAGGCTGTTCTATTGTGAAGTTATTTCTCCTCTTAAACTGACAGCAACCAAGGGCAGTTTCATATTTTCAAGGGTTAAATCTGACTGGTAACCAAGCTGTCAGTGGTGCAGGCAGATGACCAACAGTGGGCTTGGGCTGGCAAGACAAGGGGCGAGATTTGACAGATGTTTAACCTTGTGGGTGCAGCCATTGATCAGAAAAATCCACCCATCACAGCATTAGCAGGAAACTAGAAATGGGGAGAGAAACAAAGTGAATAGCTTTGCTTAATGTACCCTGAACATCTAAAATCAGGAGAAGCAACAGAGGTAGGACAAGGATCAGCAATGTGACTTCTCTGTCTGTATAGTTTTCTGCCAGCTCAAGTAATGGTGGATAGTAGTTTAACTAAGCAGTGGGGAAAGTCCCTTTAACAACAAGAATTACGCATCTAATTACTGTCCTGCTCCCAAGATATACCCTTATGAGAGAAGATAGCCTCCTTTAGAGAGAGAAGCCCTAGCAGGATCCATAGGACCTCACTGCTTTTATAGGGCTAACAAAAGTCTTTAAGCTCCTCTTGCAAGCGCCACTCCTCTGGAGCATGCATGTGGTTTCACGATGCATCCAGAAAAGGGGGAAGGGCTCGTATTATGATGCAGCTATGCTGCTTTTGTCCACCTGACCCCTCTTGCCCCTACCCTCCACCCCAGTTCATTATTTGCTCAAAAACGTGAATAAAAATTCAATCAGTACACTCATGAAAGAAATTATATCTATATGAGTCCCAAAATAAAGTTTCATCCATCCCAGATCATTATATTTCTCTGAATAGCACAGTATCCCCTTTGAGAGAATAATCCTTCTCAATGATGTTTTGTATAATATTCTTCAGACAATTATAAATCAGGAAGTAGAGCAATGCTAACCTTTGTCCCTAAGAAATCACATTTCTGCATCTTCAGCATAGTGTATCCTGTAAGACATACAACACGTTCTCCTGCTTAATGCTTCCTTTTCGTGCAACATGTTGCCAATGCGTGCTAATAAGAGCCATAAGCATGCACAAAAGGACAAGGGGTGCACCTCCCAGTAAATGCTGGGTTCCCAGGATTGTACACCCGTGCCTTCAGAAGTCTGTTCTCTGTGAAATGACATAGAACTGCATCTGAGCCCATCTTTGTCGATAACGCTTTTAGCCACTGAAATCAACAGGACTCTCAAATGCTCCATTAGGACTGAATCTGCCAGAAACTTAATGTGCCACCCAGAGGGATGATAATCAACGGACAGGATGTTCCCCCATTGGGGGGAGATGGGTGGTTGAAAAATTGAATGAATGAATGAATGAATGAATGAATGAATGAATGAATGAATGTCCATGGGGGGGGGGAGGATCAAGATGGTGGCTGCAACTGTGTAATCAAAGCCCCACAATATAAAAAAGGGAGAGGGTTTTTTTTGAATGGTCAATGGCCACCATTTCATTTTTTCTGAACTTTCTTAACATTGGTGCCCAAGTGACAATGTCCAGATTTACACAACACGGTGACCCTTAAGCTATGATTTACAAACCATATTGGCATGTTATGTGAACCCAGCTATCACATTAAGCCATAAAGTAGCTTGTTTATTTTGGTTTGACCACAGCTTCCAGCTCACAGTGTCTCTTGTCTCCATCAGAATATTACCAGAGTGTGACCAGCAATGGAAATCTATGAACTTCCCCATCTTCCTTTCTTGCTGCTGTGATCATGGGACTGGAAAAGAAGTGATGAATCATTCTTGTGTAGGTCTCCATGACAATAAATCCAGCCTATTGTTTTTTGCAAGAAAAATATTTTTATCTGATTGTAATAGCCAGATCCTTGAGTTTATAATGGTGTGACAGCATGCCTCCTTGTGACTATCATACATCGGTTATGGTTAATAAGGGCTATGCTTGCTCTGCTTCACATTGCTACATGGGGAGGAAGTCTGAAACATTTCAGCACCTGTGGCAATAAACACAGTAAACTGTAATGTGATTTGCTTTGTTGTGTTGCCTTAGTCAATTGTGTTATTTAATATACCATGGTTTACCAAGCCATGTTGTACACAATATGTGAGCCTAATTTCATATGAGAGAGATGCATGAGTCAGACAAATGAGTTTCCCACCTGTGGCAATTTCCAGTTGTGTAGATTTCAATCCCCAGAATTCCACAACCAACATGGCTATTGAAGAGAATTCTGGGAGTTGAAGTCCACACTGGAAGTTGCCAAGGTTGGGAGACATGGGGTAGACTCTTCCAATCTTAATGTAGGAATTCAGTGGATAAAACTGTTCTTATAGGCAAAGAACATGTTTTCTGAATTTCTATATCCCGTGTGCTCCATAAAAAGCTGGAAATGACACTATATAATACATGCACATACATATCCAGAGAACTGTGTTGAGTTTCTGAAGTTTTTGAAAGTACTGTATGGCTGACATCCCCCTAGTGACCATTCCCCACTCCAGCCTGGCTTCCATGACTTTAAGGCTGTGATTGCCTAATCCGATTACTTTATAACAAATCAATGTGTTGTACAAACTCAAACACTGCCCTAATTTCATAAACCATTATTTAAAAAAAAAACATGGATAGTGCCTTGTGCAAACATAGCTTATCTGTGAATGACAAGCACCTAATCAACTGGACAGCTTTGGCCCTATTGAATAGGAAAATCTGGGTGAAACCACCCTTGTTGGATTTCTGCTTGCCTAACAACTGTTTAAGGTAGTTTGTTTGTTTTTTTGACAATACCAAGCTAATATTTGCCCACTTTTGCAATCTGGTTCTTGGGTAAAGAGGGAAGCCTTTTCCAGAAGGTCCATCTGCAGAGTGATAAAAATCCCAGGCTAATATCTTGGGGAGACAGGCAATCCTCAGTGTCATCAGTGGGACTACAAATGGCCAACGCCCCTCTATAATGTCATTTAGACCCATCAGAAAGGCAGCCTGGGCCTCCAGCTTCCCATCTAATTCTTATTTGGTTTCCCAGTGTCCTAACTTTAGGGATGGGGAAGAACCTGCATTTTTTAGGTGTGGCATCAGTATCTCGACTCTCTCTCTCCCAGGAGATCACACCGATACGGTTGGGTGGGTCTCCACCCCCCCCCCACAGCCCCCCCCCCCCCTTCCTCTTCCCCCTACGACGGGGGTGTGTGGCTATAGTATGTATTT